CTCTATAAGACTTTATAACACAGTGACACAATTTCTAGCAACTGTGAGGTTTTTTTTTCTTTTTTCTATACTACTTGATGGAATTTTTAGTTGATATTTATATTTCCATTTTATTGACATGAATTTTACCTACATGGTTACAAGTGAAAATACTCCATTGAAAAATACTTGTCAATGATTTTTAGTATATCAATAATAATTTTATTGTTAAATTTATTAATGGCAAAAATATATTAAAAAATTTTACTTGTTTTATTTTATTGATATTTCTATCAATATTTTTAAAATCATGTGTTGGGTGGCTGGATTTACAATGAGATATTAATTTGTGATAAATTTTGAATTATGATGCTTGTTGAATAGAAAAATAAAGGACAAAGAAGAAGATGAAAAAAAAAATCATAAATTAAAAATGACAAGTCATCATGTTTTTTGTATTTTTTTTTATTTTATATATAAAAAGTGTTTGGAAATGCAGGCTAACCTGTATTTGTGAGGTTATAAATCCTTGTTCGTGAGGTTATAAATTAAACAATAAAAAAAGGCTAACCTGTATTTGTGAGGTTATAAATCTTGCTAGTAAGATTATAAATTAAATAATAATAAAAATATTTTAATATTTTTAAAAATAAAAAATATTTTTAAAAATAATTATAATTATACCCTCAATCAACTATAATTAACTTAACTTGTGAAATGAAGTACAAAGCTTAGGATATTCTAAGTGAACGAGGCTAACTAGATGTAGACAAATCATTTCACCAAAAAAACCAATAATCTAATATGTACTTAAAAGGGGAGTGTGCATTCAGTATAGAACTCTACAATGCCCCGCCATGTCTTGCAAAACGATGTTATTCTCTAAGAAATAAATCATTTTTTGTTGAATGAGCAGTTATAGGTGAAACAACGTCCTGTGGCTGTGATTTTTTTTTGTTATGATCTTTGTTTCAATATCTACACATAAAGGGCTAGTTAAGAGTTTAGAATAGTCTCTATCATGCTTGCATATAAAGAGAGGGGGAGGTGGTGGGAGGAATAGAGAGCAACTGGGTCTATATTTTCCGGCCAACTGGGAAGCAATTTCAACCACCATCTGAAAACACGAGGCCTTCGGAGTTCACCGGAGAGAGAGCAGGAAAGGGGGCTTCGAATTGGAAATGAGAGTTGAAAAGTGATCGGAACATTTGTTCTTTAAAATTGAATAAAAATGGACCTTTTGGTCTAAGACGGGCTAGTGCAGGTTACTTGGATGAATGAGAGATGCTTTTATTGCTGAAAAATGATCAAAAAGCCAGTTTTGGTGTGAAAATCCGCTGAGTTCTGACTCTATGATTGTCCAACTCTAACCAGAGAAAAAACATTAGGCAAGGCGTCATTCGACATAGCGAACACCACGATATCTATTTGTTTTTATCCTAGGCTTTGTTGGGCATCGTGTTGTAAAAGGGGTTTGAATAAAATTTGATTTGTTTTTGTTTAAATTTATTTTTTTATGTTTTTGTTTTGTTTTAATACGATGATATTACAAATAATTTTTTAAAAAATAAAAATATATTATTTTAATATTTTTTAAATAAAAAATATTTTAAAAAATACTAGTATTATATTTTCAAACAATTGAACTTTCATGCATGAAATTTATACTCGGATGAAATTTGTTTCCATCAATAGCACCAAAATGATGATTTATGCTCTGATAATTTTTTTGGATATTAAATCATTTTGATTCTATATATAAATTAAAAAAAATAAAAAATTATGCTCGGATTATTTAATTATTGGATACCAATGTCTTTGCTATCCGTGAGGCCATCAATTGGCTTTTTAATAGCTATCAGTATGATGTGTTTTTATATTGTTTATTCAATATTGAAAAATCAATGTTTTTAAAGAATAACATTTAATTTAATATAAGTTTACCATAATTAATTCATAAAGAATCTCGAATGCATTAAACACGTGGGCACATTTGCTATTTCAAAACAAACGAGAGGCCGCCGATCCAAACCAAACCCGAGTAAAGTTACGAAAATCAGCAGTCGCCGTAAAGAGAAGAGGCAGAGGATGGTGCAAAGCGAGGGAGTCGTTACTTAAATCAAGAGGGGCACTTATAGCTTCTTTATACAATCATGGAAGTGCGAGTTTACCTCATCTACAAGGAAGTGAAGGTGACATTCCTTCGTAATTGGTTCGTATGTATGTGTGTGGGATCCCTTCATATGCGTGTAAGATTTGATTGATGGTGAAGGAAGAACGCGAATATGTAGTGAGACTTCAATGGCTTTCTTGAGTGCTCTCACATGGCCTTTAGTTTGTTCCTTACAGAGATCTACGAGAGGTACAGCTTCTGTGTTGGCAAGGTGCCTCCATGTTAAGCACAGGCTGTCGCACTCTTTATTATTATTGAATTGAATTGAATGCGGGTGTTGTAATTCACACCTACCAAGGTTATTTATTCCGTGGTGCTGGCATTCTTCACTCAATTTTTTCAAAGCAGGTTAAAAAGAGAATAGATCCTGGTAATTTTGCTCAGTGGAGAATGATGTAGGCGGCCATTAGTTATGGCCTGGGGATGTTTTGGAGCTGCTTGGAGTCCGACCCTGAATTGGGATTTTGGAAGAGAAAGTGCTAAACAATCTGAAGTCCAATCTCCCTCTGGAAAATGAAAAATATTACTGCTAGCTTTTTCAAAGTAGGTTAAAAGAGAGTAAATCCTGGTAATTTTGCTC